GTTTTAGACTCCGCAGACACAGACAAAAGCAATGTCTGTAGCAATGCTGCACACAGCAGTGTGAACTCCTGAGTCTCACCTTGTTTCACCTCCGTCTCCTTTACTTCCTCCTCTTCCTCCTCGTCATCCCAGTTATCCTACAAAGTAAGTTTTCATTGAGATAAATGCTCATAAGACGCTTTTACATATTATTTCTACTTGTTAGGCAAACACAAAGGACAGCAGCTTACATACAGCCTTTTAGATGCTCTCAAATCCATTAAAATTATGTAGCTGAGTTAGGAAGCGGGGAGTATTTCACAGTTGGAGCTGTGAAATAAGGACAATGATCTGGGAGCTGAGCACAGTGTTTCAGGACCAGTTATCACTGAGAAAAAGGCAGCTTTAATCAAAGAATGGGAAAGTTTCTGTCGGTACAGCTGGGAAAGTGGCCAACCCAATGCCAGCCCCAGGACCACAACCTGCCCTCAGCCAGCAGCTGTCACTTCCCTGCCAGGCAAGGGGCCATTGCAAGTCCCTTCCCACACACGAGCTGCTGCTCTCCAACAGCAACCACATTTCTGAGCCTTTCCAACCATCCCAGCTGTGGCCATTCTCAGCACCTCCCACGCTCAGGCCCTTCTCTGAGCACCCACCCCTTGTGCCCCGTGAACCAATGCATGCTTGCACCTCAACGCGCAGCATGGAGCAGATGAACGTGGAGGAAGCAGGCCTTCCAACAGAACTGACCCGTTTATGTCACCTGCAGGTTTGCCAGCAGCAGCTCTGCAGTCCCTTCCCAACAGTTAGCTGGGTATGATTTATGGGAACACATGTTCTTCCCCTGGTACCCTTCCAGATTCTACTGATGCCCTCTGTATGGAGATCAGCGCTCTAAAATCGACCTGAAGGCGCACGCCTGGCAGCACACAACCTATGCACCACAAGGTAAAGCCAAGAAATCACTCACACAGGAATCTAATTTCAGTTACCTGTATCAATGGAACCCGCAAGCTTAAGAGCTTGCTTTGGCAAGGCCTGCTATACACAGAAGTCACACAGACTGTGGGCACATTATGGGTGAGCTCTGCAACCGTAAGCCCTGAATTCCGAGTTGCACCTCAGAGCAGAACGTGAGCAACATCCCAGCCATTCACCCAGAGGAGGAACGCGGCGTCACAGCGCAGTGCGTTGGGCTAATTGGCACCTGTGGGAGAGCAGGCTTCCCTTCCACATTCCAAGAGGGTGACTTGAATTTGCAGCAGCACTCATCTAGCTCCTATCTAATTAAGTCTGTTACACCCATTTCTTAAGCAGCCATTTTCACCACCTCTGTGCTCTCTGCCATGGCCCCGGCCCCAGCCCGCACAGAGAGAGGTTTCAATCAAGCACCGTGTGGCACAAAGCCCACAAGGAAGGAGGGCAGCACGGCTGAAGGAAGCGCTCCACACCTGCAGCCCTCTCCTGGGCACAGCCTGCCCTGCAGCAGCAGCTCCTGCTCCCTGGCACCTGTCAGCAGTGCAGCAGGAGCGTGCAGGAGATGCTTCTGCAGCTGTAACTGGAGTGGGAGCAGCCCCAGCCCAAGCGCTTCGAGGAAAAGAGACCCAGGGCAGAACCACAGCTCTGCGGCACTGCGCCCAGTAACACAGCAGGACACGAGGAGCTGAAAACCTGCAAGTATCCCACAGCTCTCCTGCACACGTACTTCACTACAACAAGGCTGGAATCACCTTCCGCTGCACTGAGTAACTGCTGACCAGAGCGGCTCTCCCTGTTCCACAGCCACCCTGAGCACAGGGCAATGCAGCGCCCTGCCCAGACCAGAGGGCAGGAGCAGGGAATGGCAGCGCTCAGCTGAGCTCCTCCACAAGCACTTTGCCAGGCCACAGCCTCCCACTTTGGCTTTGCTGAACCAAGAACTGCCCAGGGATAAGTAGAGGAAACCCCTTTGGCACCAGGCCTGCCTCCTGGGAAAGCTGTGCTGGGGTAACAGCCCAGAGCAGCTGTGTTATCAATGAAGATGATAATTTTAAACCCGGGGAAGTCAGTGTTTCCAGAACTTAGGAGTTACTGTAAGATCATTATCAAAACAAGTGCAAAATAAACTACAGGATCTGAATATGTACAAAAGGTAGGAAAAACGTGAACACGGGAAACACTCTGTGCTCACATTTTAGGCCACTTTTTCTCATATCCATGCTTCAAGGCTGACCCTGGCAAACAAGGTATCCAGAGCTTAAGTAACAATCTCCCAGACTCAGCTCTGAAACGGTTAGCATTTAAACAAAAAGAACAAATCGAAATGAAACACTTCCATTTGCTGGACAGGTCCTCCTCTCCAGATACAGCTCCAGTACTGAAAGCGTAACCTCTGAGAAAGAGGGAAGAAGCCAATTCCTGGCACACGTGGAAAGCTTTGTTCTTTTATTCCAGCAGCCACAGAGAGCAGAGGTGTCTCTATGAGTGACACTTCACAGACCAGTTCTCCTGGACAAGCTGCGCAATACCAAAAAGGTTTCTCACTTCCAAAGGAAGGCAGAAAAGCAAACTTCACAAATACTCTCTGTATAACACGTGTACATACACGTATAGACACACACAAATACGAAGGCTGCATACAGTGTTACATACGTGCACACAGTCACGCTGTAACATTCTGCTTACAGATGACTGCAGCCCCTGCATACAGAGATACCTCTGCTCACCTTGCCTGCTGTACTGCCACAGCAGTGATAACCACAGGGTGTGGGTGTTACTGCGTTTCAGAAGCAGAACAGACAGCTCCTAATTTACAGAAATATTTATCTATATAAAGAGAACAGTTGTTCATACTACTTACAGAAAGAGTACCACCCTAAGCTCCAAGAGCAATCGCATTGGTGCTTCCCAAGATTCTCCTAACACAGGCACAACCTAACCAAGCAGAGCAGTGAGCCCTCACCCAGCACACATTCATGGGATCACAGAATGGCCAGGGTTGAAAAGGACCACAGTGCTCATCCAGTTCCAACCCCCTGCTGTGTGCAGGTCACCAACCAGCAGACTGGGCTGCCCAGAGCCACATCCAGCCTGGCCCTGAATGCCTGCAGGGATGGGGCATCCACAGCCTCCTTGGGCAGCCTGTTCCTGTGCCTCACCACCCTCTGGATGAAAAACTTCCTCCCAGCATCCAACCTAAACCTCCCCTGTCTCAGTTTGCTTTGCAGGGCTTCACACCCGCGCCCACAAAGTGGTGACCAGGTCACTCCGAGCACAGCACAGCACAGCGGAGTCCCGGTGCGATGCCCACGTGCCGCAGCGCCGCTTCCGAAGGCTCGCAGATGGCGGAGCGGCGGAAGGGCCGCGCAGAGCTGTGACAGAGCATCGCCCGGCCCGGCCGCCCAGCCGCCGCTCCGGCCCGGCGCCGGCTCCTCCCCATGCCCGTCCCGTCTCTGCCCGCTTCTGGCCCGACGCCGCTCTCCGAGGCCTATCGCTACCGGCCCGCGCCGAGGCCCGATTTCAGCCTGGCTCGGCTCCGAAGCTTTGCGGCGAACCCGTCGGGGACGCCCCGGAGCCGGCCGGGCGGGATCGAAGCGACGGCGGCCCAACCCGAGCCGAGGAGCCCCGTCCCCGCGCACCTTCACGTCGTCCTCCTCGTCCTCGCCGGCCCAGCGGTCGCCGGCCACCCCCGCCGGCACCAAGCGCTTCGCCACCGGCTCCGCCGCCTCGAAGGTGTCGGCGTCTGCGGGGGGAAAGCAGAGCGGGTGAGGAGCGCGCGGCCCGAAGGCCGAGGCCCGCGCGGCCCGAAGGCCGCCACCTACCCCAGGAATCCGCCTCCGCCGCCATCTTCCCGCGGGAGCGCGGCCGCCGGCGCGGGCACTGCGCTGTGAGGCGGGCGCTGCGCTGCGCTGTGAGGCGGCCGCAGACGGCGGGCCCGGCGCGCGCCGCGCGGAGCACCGTGGGAGCGCGCCCCGCCCCTTCGGGTCGCGCGCGGCCTTTTCCCGCCATCTTGGGAGGGCTGAGGGAACGGGCGCGCCGCCATCTTGGGAGGGATGAGCTGCCGCTCCGCCTCCGCGCTCCCTCCCGGCGGGGTGGGTCTCCGTGCCGTCGTGCGAGCGGCGCGGGGAGCCGTAGAACGGCTCGTGGCGGATCGCTGGCCCGCTCCGCATATGGCAGAAAGATAAGAGTCGCCATCGCGGCAGCACGAGCCCGTAGAACGCGGCCCCGGGGCGCGCCTGCCCCGGCCTGAGGCGGCGGCCCGTGAGGTGAAGCCTGTCAGAAACCTGGGCTCTGCGGCTTGGTCCTTGAGTAGATGTGAAAAGAACGGGAATAATCTTGGGAAAAATGCGGAAGAAAAGCTGCCGAGGTGTCTGCGAATCACCGACGTGTGGTGCGGGTCGTTCCTGCGCCGCTGCATCTCCTGCCGTCGGAGCACATCGCATCGGTCGCCTTCCGGCCCGGGACGCTGTGGGTGCGCGCCCAGCTGTGTCGGAGCGCACTGCAGCCTTGCCGCCAGCGCAGCGCTGCTGTCCCAGCACGGAACGACTTCCCACACAGCGACACATCCGAGATGAGGACTGAGAGACCCAGAAGTTGAAACCTGTGCCGAGCATTGGCACGAAGCTGGAGCCTCGTGGTGCCCGTCAGCCAGAGCCACAGCCTGGCCCGAAGCCACCGCTCCGCTCCAGCCTCCTCCCCACGGACACCGCGGATTCCAAACGAAGGCCAGCCGCGACCCCGGGCTGCTCTGTGCGGGGGGAGCGTAGCAGCTCCGCGCCCGCTGTTAACAGCTCCGATCGATTCCGGCCCACACGCCGCACGTTTTGTTCTCCAGCAGCCTCAGCTTTTCAAAAGCGCAGCCAACACTTACTTTCCTGCAGTTTTAAGGCTGAAAACTGACACGAGAAACGTCTTGCTCAACAGAGAACTGAATTTTCAGCGCAGGACTGATAGTAGCTAAAAATAAAACAGCTACAGTATAAATATTTAATATAAATCTTTATGATTCTATATACTAGAAATGATAGCAGAAAAAACACAAATTTGTAGAACATTGGTTCTCTTCCAATTGTATTTTACAAGATTCAGCCTATCAGTACAATGACATTTTTGCAAGTATAAAAAAAATAAAGCAAAACAATATTACATTACACAGTCAAGACAACCAAAATAGTGATGTGCTTAACAGAACCTATACAAGTCAATCCTTAACAAGCCTTCCTTGCTTGCTTCCAAACAAAGAAGTTGCTGTCTTTTTTTTTTTAATTTATATATATCTTTTTTGTTTGTTTTTTACAAAATTATGACTACTAGCTAAGAAAACAATGCATCTACGCTACTTCTCATCAGCCATTTATCAACTTGTTAACCATTTTATTTAAGCATCAGAAATCCAAGATGCAAATCTGCAATGACACAGTTTTGGCCTAATCAGATCTTTGAGAACAGTCCTTTAATGTCTCTGAAGTACACAACATTGTTCTGCAGCTGAACGACTTCAACGTGGCGATGACATTCGCACAAAAACCATCTTCCCTGCAGCAGCCCTAACCGGCCTCGGGCAGCACAGCACGCCGACCGCAACGAGCAGCTCCTGCTCAGGCCCAGCGCAGCCCTGGGGACAGAAGCGCCATCCCCAGGCAGAGGAGGGAGAAGCGGCCATCAGCACCGCGCTGCTGCCGAGGCGCCACCTCTCATCTTTTCATTTTATTGTATCAGGCTTTGATAACGAGATTAAAGCAGCTCAATGGGGTTGGCTGAACCACCTGCCTGCTCTGCTGCACAAATCCACAGAAGTCGTTTCCCCATAAAAAGAACCAATACTTAACTTGAAATTCTACTTACAGCGGAAGACGTTATTTTAATGAAATAGCAATTAGTTTCTCGTTGCACTTGAAACAAACCCAACAGCTGTGCTGATATCACACCAGTAGGTGCTTGGTCTTTTCTTTCAATTATGTTGCAAATGTTTACTTTTTGGCCTTGACTTCCTGAAATCCGTTCCATTTACCTACACATACTAGATTAATTTCAGCCATGTAAATATTAATTTCACACTGGAATTCTAGCTTTGTAAAGGTGTGCTCTCCAAGTCCTTCAAACGGAAGGGAGCACGGGATGGAGAGGAGACAAAGAAGGCACAGATAACTTTCCTAATTCCCCAAATTTAGGTGTGCTCAGTGCTAATCCAGTCCCCCAGTCAGATGAAAGGAGTGACAGCGAGGACACACCGAGTTCAGCAGCCACAATTCACTGGTGTAGGCACCCCACCACGGACGGAGCTTTCCTCGGTTTCAGTCACATCTGTTCAGTAACAAATGCCATCATCTACCTTAATGTCTGCACCAACAGGCTGCGGCTGATTTACACAGAGAATAAAGGTAATGGTTTGCAATGCAACGCTATAAGGAAGTCAGAACCAGAAGGAAAAAAAAAAATCAAGAGACATGGGTATTTACTTGGATAGTAACACTCGTGTGTCTGGACAGCTTTCCTGACCATCCACCCAAGCTCTACCATTACAGGCTGCTGCAGACCACGGGCCCACATCACCGCGCTGCTACTGGGAGGCAGGCTGATGAGATCTGCACTCACTCCCAGCCCTTCTCCTCGCTGGGCTCCATGCTTTGCCAGTTGTGCCAATCCACCTCACGCCTAAAAAGGTCTCTGGAAGAGTCTGGGAGGGGAGAAGGTTGCAATGAGAAGGATGCCTGCTTCCAACAGTGAGTGAGAGCAAACAGTTCTGCACTTACACATCTGGTTACTTTTAGTAACACATCTTAGTGGTCTGCTTAAAGAAGTGCCTCCTCACAGCACGCATTCAGCTGATACAACTCTTCCTATGGAAGATGTGTGATCAGGTCTCGAAACATTCATGTTTTCAGATACATTTGAATAATAATGAAAAAAAATCTTTTTCCATAGAGATGCAAGGTGAAATGAACCAAAGGTAGAAAAGCAGCCAATAATGGAAGTACGAAATACTGTTGTTTTGCTGTCCAAAGGAAAAACACTCAACCCTAGAACAGAATACATACAAAGACATTCAATTAGCAAACATTGCCAGAATCAAGTCGAAGACCACAAATGAAACCGCAGACAAAAATGAAACCATTAAGAACTTTGGAAATACGATGGTGTGCTTCCTAAACATACATAAAACGGGAATAAATGATACAGCTACACGATGAACTGCTCAAGCAGCACAGTTCTACATTCAACCTCAAGTAACAGCCGTAGCTGAGACAGCGCCAATTTTGGTCTGCACAATTTGATCCAGACTGAAGTCAAACAGCGAGGCCTCAGCCTGGAGGCTGATGGAAATCAAAGCCGAAGGAACAGAACTTTGCTTCGTGCAAAGACTTGTTGTTATGCCAGAAGTCTTTGACATTGTTAGGAACTCGCATTTTGAGGAAGGCAGACTCATTCTGCAAAGAAAGTTCAGAATGATAAATATCAGACTTGCAGCACATTAAAGTATTAATATTTAATCTGTTTACTAAGCAGCCTCTGTAACTTTCATTGTGCATCTGTGTAGAACTAAATCCTCCAATTTACATTTCCATTTCCCTCACTGATCTGATAATCACAACACAGATACAGCTGTAAAGTGCAATGTATGCTTTGGTTTCCTTAACTAAAGAAAGCACTTTTAGAATGTTTTGGAGACGGGACGCGCGTGTCAGGACGGCGTCGGACAGACGGTCGTCCCTGCTGACAGTCAGAGAACAGCTATGAGCTACTGAGCAAAGACGGGTTCCTTCTGGAAGCCTGGCGATGTGTAAAGCAGTCCTACGGTGTAAATTACTCCAAGAAATCTGGAAGAATTCCACGTTCAACAGGGATTCGCCGTTAAAACCAATTAAAATCTCAGCTTTAGATTTACATCTTAACGAGCAGCTAAAAAATAGTTGGCAAACCATGTAGCAATTCAAATACAAGCCGACCATTTTCAAACTCTGTAAATATTTCCAGAACCATCTCATCAACATAAAAACAGGAGGAGCGCGGATGGTTACAGGCTCACACGGCTGCGCAAAAGCATATATAAAGGTAATGTTATGTACATTTTATTTCAATAAAGACATAAGACAAACAGTGTAAAGATGCCCAGATGCCCTAAAGATAAATACATTTAAAAGATTCTCATTAAAATGAATCTGTAGTATTTCTTTCCTGCAAGCAAAATACTTTTCTTTAAATACAAAAAAAAAAAAAAAATCAGTATTCTGAATTGCAAATGTTTCCACTTTTTTGCAGAAAATCTGCCATGATGATTTTTTTTTAATGAATAAGGATTTTCCACAAAACAGGCTTGCTCTACATGCTAATCTCTTTAAACAGTTCAGTGACACAATGTGCTAGCTACATACACAACAGATAATATAGTAAGAAAACACTCAACCTGATGAAAAGTTAAAATCTTCATTAATACACTGGAAAAAGTTGACATAACTCATGCCTTTTAAAATCAAAAATACAAAAATTAAATGTTTTCCTAAAAAGATTTTCCTTACTTTAAGGACTCATTTGAAAATGAAGCTGCATGTAATTTGTACAATAAAATTGTACAAGTAAACAGGTAATATACATAAAAAATTAATTGACATACTTCTCAATTATCAGTTGTCCACCTTTAATTTCCAATACTGTACTTTCTTAACAAGCATACAAAATATCAAACTTCTCTTTAGAAAAAGTGCCGTTCTGTGACATCTTTTACACAAAAACAGTCTGAGCCTGTGGCATGTCAATGCAGTCGAGAGGCAAACACCCTAACTTTTACAAATTATACCTTCCATAAAAAGCTCCTCAACAGGAGATTACACGCCATTATAAAAATATCGACCTCTTGCAGCAGCTGCATTAGAGAACCACGGCTGAAAGACTATTTCCACATAGCATAGCGACCACCGCGACGGCAGGCTGACGGCACAGCACCGCGCTCACATCCTGCCGGGCGCCGCTCCAACGGACCGCAGCGAGGAGCGGCGCAGCAGAGGCGGCGCAGCCCAGCAGCGCGTCCGGAACGCTGAGCCTGCAGCCCTCTGAGCCTGCAGCCCTCTGAGCCTGCAGCCC